GGCGCCGAAAAAGCTTATTTGATATTTTTGAACAGATCGCCACCGAGGCTGCCTTCGTCCAGATCAACCTTGGCCTCGAGCTCGCCGAGCTCCGGGATCATGGGCGGTGGTGGGCCTGCGGGCTTTGCCGACGGTTGCGGTTGTGATTGCGGTTGCGGCCGCGGCTTCTTTGCATCTGCAAACAAGACGCTCGAGCGCTTCGACAACGGCGACGACGGTGCACCGCCGTTGATGCTTGCACTTGAGCTGGCCAGGCTGTCTCCGGTGCCACCACCTCGTAACCGGCGGAACCAGCCGCTGGACCGGCGGGCCTTGCGCTCGTCCACGATGCTGCCGTCGCTGCGGCTTTCTGGGCGTATGATGCTGCCAGGGACGGTGGCGGTGCTGTTGGAGGTGGGAAGGTGGCCTTCGTTCCCTTCAGCGTTAGCATATGCGGTGTTTAGGAGATTCCGGCTGAAGAGGCGCCGGATGCTACCGGGGCGCGAGGACAGCGTGGGTGAGGCCGGGATGTCATCCGCAGGGCGCTTCAGGCCCGCGCGGCCGAGGGGGCGCGTTGGGGAGGAGAGAGAGTTGGAGGTGGCATCATCGGCACCGGGCTGGGCTCCGTTGGTCTTACTGCTGCTGGTGGCACTCGGCTTGTTCTCTTTGAGCTTCAATTCCGATGGCTCCTCTTCAATTGGCGACGGCAAGGGCGGTGGGATGTTGGTGCCATCGGTCAGGGACCCGAATTTGAAATCAAGCGCGGGCAACTCGAACCGTTTGGGCTTTGTCGCCAGAGCGGTCGTCGCCGACCCGTTTGTTCTAGCCGGCATGGCTGCGTAGGGGAGACGGTATGAAATAAGCGTTTGGAGATCAGAGGATGCGATCAGACGGTATGATTCGGAGATGTCAGGAGAGACAATGCAAAGCGATGGCGGTGGACTAAAGGAGCTCTGGCTATGAGCACACGAGTAGACGCCTTTTCTGAGCAAGGGACCTGACGGGCTGATAGACAGTGCTTGCAGGTTGGGGCGATAGTGCGTCGGCAAATCGAGTGTTTGTTTGCTTGCGCGGAGTGACAAAGATCCGTTTTGGTGAAGATTGGTCGATCGCAATGAACGGAAAGCTCAGAGCACAGCCTGGTGGAGAGCTCTCCACGTGCAAGAGTAAGACAGTTCAGATCAAAACCTGGGCGAGCGTCTCTGGCGGCTGCAGGCTGCGAGTATGGCGAGTATAACGACAATTGGGCGCCAACAACACGATGTAAGTTCGAGAAACGAAGCCAGGGGAGGAAAACGTTGGACAGTCGACGGACGATGGGGGCAGTCGGGGTCAGGGACAGGAGGCAGCGGGAGAAAGAAAAGAAAGAGGCAGGGTGGTCCGGGCGGGGGAGATGAGGTTACGACGCTGCTGGTAGCGTTTGTATCCTTTTTTTTCGCCGGCGACTTGGCTAGCTGGACGGGTCCGCAGACGACTTTGGAATGGCCAGAAGTGTTCTGTTTCGCAAAAATGTTCAGAATACTGGAAAGTATGCAGGATGTTTGTTTGATGCCAGATGCAATAAGTGCTTTGATTTCGTGGCGGGTGGGAGAAGACTGGTATTATTATTTTGTTGTGCAGTGGTAGATGGGTCCCAGACGCTCGGCACAGTGATGGATGGAATGCAGGAAAGATCTGAGTATGGGGCAAGAGCGAGTGACAAGCTTTCAGAACACGCCAATGGGAACTGCTCACTGGTAAAAATGGTCAGGGGAAGCGAGAAAACCGAAGCATAACAGGGTATCAACGATGGTTTGGATGGTCGACTACAAAATGCCAGGCAAGAGCGACGAGAGGGCGCAACACGCACGACACATGATGCAAGGGGGGAAAGGCAGGTGGAAAGCGAAAATGGTTGGTGGACGTCAGTGGTACCTGCCGTGGGCGGCGCAAAAAGAGTGGGAATGGGTCAAGTCGACAAACAAGGGGCAGGTCTCATTGGGTTAAGTGGCTTTGTGAGCGATGAGAGCCTCAGGGCCTGTGAAGGAAGGAAAGACGGGGCCCGTAAGACCCAGACCCCAACCCAAGAATGGACGTCAAGATCTAGTAAAGCTACGGGGAAGGAGCCCACAAGTGGAAGCGGCAGTTTCGTGACAACGCAAGCTGAAAATAGAGCCGAAAAACATTCCAGGGAATACTGGTTGGCGGCGTAGTGAGCCAGTTTTCCTGGCATGCCGGATCGACTGCCAATTAAACCCGGAGAGTTGTGTAAGCAGATCAATGCGAGGCGATGCATTTTGGTGTTTTCCAGAAACCAGAAAAGATCATCCAGGGATTGGGATTGTGGCTTGAAACGGGCGCCCCAGGCAGGCACTACCGGTTGCCAGCAGCATCTTACTTGCATTTTCTACGAACGGATCGACTACGTAGACGCACAAATGTACACCATCGCCAGGTTGCTTGTAAATTCGTGGGCGGTGCTCCGTGACAAGGTGCAGTGAGAAAGTTTTCGCACATTTTCTAGGCTCCGTTTTTGTTTGCCGGACGAAAAGAAACAAAAGCAAAAGAAAATGACGGCTTTGTCGTTTTGGAACTGAACAGTTGAGCTGGCAGGGGGTGGCAACAACCATCGTCCAGGGGTTATGGGGTGGAAAAGAAACTTTTTGGGTGTGGAGGCCCCTTTTTCAGAATTGCCGTTGCCATTTTGGGAACTAGTGTCCGGGCGGCACCCTAGGACGGATCCGAAAGGGGTGAAGCCCAACTCTTGTCACGCTTGTTCCCATGCGTAGCGGTTTACCGAAGTACGAGAAAAGGCTCAAACGCTGGAAGTAAAGCAAGAAATCGTTGGACAAAAACACGATAGCCCAGGCGGGTGTTGAGCTGCGGCGGAAGTGTCGCTAACAGTTGACTGTGAACCCGTCCACAGAACAGAAAAGGACATCCCGGCAACGGGCTTTTCGTTGGCAAATCGAGGCAAGTGAGGAAACAGGTCCCAGATCAATGGAAGGCGCACGCGTTACGTATCGTGTGCAATGGTTGCAGTCGAGGTGGGAGACCAGGGTCTAATAACCTCCCGATAGCGCAGGACAAGTGGAGGTTGAGGACGAACAAGGCCAAAAGCGTAAGAATTTAGCGTAGCAGCGAGATGCTAGGAAAGAAAAGACAGAGAGAGGGTCTTCGAGTTCCCCTTGCATTCGCAGCAGCGTGCATTCGTACTGTACAGCGAGATATCAGAGCACCCACAACGGCAAGCAACGAATGAGCAAGATGTGTGCCATGGACGCTATCTGCAAGGGGGACAGCCTCCGTGGCAAAGGGCTGTCTTGGCTCACAATTTATGGCCCATGGGAGCACCCGCGTCAGACAAGCCGTTCTGTGTCAAAGAGAACCCTTGCTACGCGAGGCCATCAAGCATGCATTTTGACAAGACGACAGATGGTCGACATTTCACAGGTGCCTTTTTTCACTTTCAGACGGCTTATGATATACACGAGGCGACAGAAAGCACTGGATAGCAGTCCGAATTATTTGAGTTTCATTTTGTTGGACGAGGTAAACAAATGCACGTTGCCCGGTATTGTCAACTTTGTTATTTATTGGCCTTGCCATGGAATTTTGCTGAATTCCACCAGAGCGCCCGTAAGCCCCTTTTGCTTAGACATGCTTGCTGAAGAACTCAACGACCGTCTTGTAGCCGCGGACGTACTCGGACTTGATGTGCTCGTCGGCCAGGTCGGCACGGGCCGCCATCCAGCCGTGGACCTGGTCGGCAAACGTCTCGACGTGGTGCGGCACGGTCAGGGCCTTCTCAAAGGCGTCGACATCCGCAGGGGGCTCGTCCTTGGAGGCCAGCATGACCAGGGGCACCTTGATGCCGACGGCGTCCTTGGCGTCGACCATGGCCGGGTGGGCCTCGGCCCCGGCGGCGAAAGGGTTCTCGGCGCCCGAGGTGACGAGCGAAACGACCTTGCCACCCCAGCAGAACTAAGCGGTTAGCAGGGGAAAAGGAGATACCAAAACAGTAATGATAAGAAAAAGAGGTAGAAAAGAAAAAGAAAGAAGGAAAAAATACGCACGAGGCACGTACACCAATGACACCCCAGGACTTGATGGTGGGGTAAGCCTCGCTGGCGGCCTTCACGTAGGCAGGGAGCTTGCTGGCTGTGACCGGCGGCGGGTGCTTACCGAGGAAGCCCATCAGGCGGACCTTCTTGTCCTCGGTGTCCGGGGGGAAGCTGTTGGGGTCATGGACATTAGCAAGCTGCCTTTGTAAAAGGCGACAAGAAAAAGAAATGCATGAGCTAGCGGAGCGCAAACGCACATCCCCAGAGGAGCCGGCTCGTCGCCAAACCAGTCCGGAATCAGGACCTTGTACGGCTGGTGCTTGTCAGTGACAGACAGGATGTCGGCGCCCTGCAGCGTCTGGTCCTTGTAGCCAAAGATGTCGAAGACATAGATGATGCCCTTGGTCGCGTCATCGGGCCCGGTGGCGTCTAAGGGAGGAGTCAGTAATCGGGAAATGGAGTATCTACGGACAGCTGGCTGTCGTCGGGAAGTGGTTTCGCATACAGGTCTTCAGATCGCCGACGGTCTTGTATTCACCCTTGATCTCGTAGCCGCTGGCCACTGTTGATATGCTGGTTAGAATTCAGGTACGACATGGTTCCTGGCAATCTTGGTATTGCTGTCGAACTCACCAATGGGAGGAACATTGCAGCAGGCCTACTCAAAGAAAGCAATCGGAGAGATTAGCCGTCTGCGGTTCCACGTCCTGGCACGTAGCCTCGTCCTCGTTGCTCTGCCCCCAACTTACGTCACTGTGGCCGAGTTCAGCAGGCGTCGACATTGTTATGGTTATGCGTAATGGTCGAAAACTGGGACGACACACGAATCGCCGTTGATTAGCATGGGGGCAAAAAGTCGCCGAATAGATGTAACGGGAAGCTAGGATGCCGGGAGGAGAGCTATAAAAAGGCAGCTCCCCTTCGCACGTTCAACGTACCGAAAAGCGATGAAGCTCAAGATGCGTTTTGTTTTTAACAATGTGCACTCGAAATGACGATACAAACACAAAAGAGAAAGAGCGATTGAAACGAGACGGTGAAAGCTACTTTGTACCTCGGAACACGGCCACTACAATTACTAATGGGCAAGAGCAATTGCCCGCCCGGGGTTTCTGTTGCCCGGGCGCGACTGCCGTGGAAACCCAAGTGGGAATCCTGGGCGAGCAAGAGCGAACAAGCACTGCCAGTGCTCGGCAATGCACGGAGCGTCTAACTTTCCAAAGCATTTTGGAGGGGCAAGCTCTGGGCTTTCAGCTCTGGAACGTGGATGATGTCACCAAAACGCGCACCAAAAGCCCCGCATCGGATCGCGGAACTGGCGTGGCCCATGGAGCCAGTACAGTGTACGGTGTCTTCACTCGCTGTTACGAATACTGTGGCGTGAAATGGCCAAAGAGCTTTCTCTCCAAACGGAGTCCATGGCGCTTCAATTGGCCGTTCCGAAGGCAACCCTGTTGGAAACGGACGTCGGCTACACTCCAAAGTCTGGTGTTGTTCATCCCCAGACTCATCTCTTCGACTACGAGTGGTCACGGACAGCCAATCAAACACACCAAGGCCACGTATCTTGACATTCGGCATTCAACTGTTGGGTCCATCCTGGCCCAGATCATGCAGTTGTCGTAAGTATGCACGGCCCTGATAAATGTGGTCTGGATGGTGCATGACAAAGTCGTATTGTGGATTGGCATTTCTGGCAAGGCAGACATGAGAACGAGGAGATAATGCAAAAGCAAAAACAAAACGAATCATCAGCCGTTGTGCTCTCGAAGATACATGAAGGCGACTGGAAAATATTGGGAGAAAAACCGAAAGAGACTGTACGGAGTTGCTAGTTTCGTGTTTCGTAATTTATCACGGGATTAAGCGACTCTTCAAAGGTAAGAGAATGAGGTGTAAAAATATTTCTTAAAAAAACCATAAAAACAGCAAAAGTTTCATGTATGCTCTTGCGTGCTTGCGAGTTGGTATTGGTACAGCTATGACGCCCCGAGTCCTACTGTGACGACAGGAAAGCAGCCCCGGAGAACGAAGAACTAGAAAAGAGAAGACAAAATGGTGGGTATACGTGCATCATGTTCCTCGTCGTGCTGTACTTGAAACCAATATGAGATGGGGTGGCAGTGGGGAGGTAGAGGTAGAGAGATGAGATGGAGAGAGAGAGAGGAAAGTGTAACAAAGGATGATAAGGAAGATCGGTAATTCTGGAAGCTGAATAAAACGCGGCCGTTACTTCTTCTCCTTTTCTTTCTCCTCGGACGCGTCCTGCTCCCTGGCAGCATTGTCCATCTCGACAGCCGCCGACGCTGCTGCCAGCCGCTCAGAGATGGACGGCTTGGACAGCGGCGACCGTCCTGCCGACCCGGCGGCCACGCTGCCGCTGTTGGTGCGCGTGTGTCCTGGACCGGGCGACTCGGCCGAGGAGACGGTGTTGGTCGTCTCGGAGCTTTCGCCCTTGGTAAGCGAGGACATGGACGGGCGCTTGACGTGGCCCGAGAACCGCTTGGATTTCTTGGAGGGTGTCGCGTCGGAGGACGCGGTGTTGTCGCGTCCATTCCCATTACTAGCGCCACTGCCACCGCCGCTGCCGCTGCCGCCGTTGTGGTTGCCAACAGAATGAGCGGGTTGTGAAGACCCTTGTGTAGGCAGCTTCTGTTCTTTCCACTTGCGCCAGCCGTCAAAGTCGATTAGAGCCTGCATGCAGCCCCATTCCATAATCTTTTTCTCCAGCCAGACGAAGTTGACGGGCTAAAACAGTTGGAGAGTCAGTCCAAGGCCAAAAAGGGGGCTAATGCTCGTTGCAAAACAGGGCATACCTTTGTTAAAAAATCGTTGCAACCAGCGGCCAAGGCGTCGTTCCGGTCGCTCTGCAGTGAGCTCGCCGTAAGGGCCACGATAATGACCGGGCTCTTGAAGAGCGCCAAGTTGGCCAGCTTGTCGGACTGCGGGTCGCGGCCGACACCGATCGAGTCGCTCGGTGTCGACGCAAAGACGCCAATGGAGTTGACACGTTCGAGGCGCCGGATCTCGCGCGTTGCGTCGAGTCCGGACATGAGCGGCAGCTGGATGTCCATGAGCACCAAATGGAAGCCGCCGGTACGCCACTTGGCAACGGCGTCGCGGCCGTTCATGGCTGTCTGCCAGCGCACCTTGAGGCGCTTGACAAAGGCCTCGAGCAGCTTGAGGTTGATAATGTTGTCCTCGACAATCAGGACATTGATGGGCGGCACGGTCAGCGGACCGAGCTGGACCGTGTTCTGGCTGTCGTCGTTCGCAGTCTTGTTGCTGTCATTGACAATGCTATTGCCATTGTTGAGGGGGCGCGCCGATTTCTTGGCCCGTTTGCCGCGCATGGGCGACATGGGCCGTGGGGGCGAGGCGACCGCCCGAGCTGCGCCGGCATTATTGCTGCCACCGTTGACCGAGCCATTAAGTAAGACGCCGTTCTTACCACCACCACCGCCGCCGCCGCCGCCATCCTTCTCGGCACTGCCACCACCGCTACTGCTGCCACCGGCACCACCATCGCCAGCGCCGCCCTTGGCTTTTTGGTGCAAACTATCGGCAATGCTGCCCCGGCCACTGCCGCTTTTCCCCGGCAACGGAGCCGCAATGGGAATTTTCAGGCCACTGGCGGTCAACCCCTTCTGTGCCGACACGCCGCTGTTGCTGGCGCCGTTGGTCTGGGGCGAAGAGCCTTCGCGGCCGATCCCCGAGCCGTCGTCGGGCACGGACGAAAATTGCCGGTGAATCTTGGGCCGCTCCTTATGCGACCGCCGTGAGGAACCGCCTGGGGACGGCAGGCTGGGGATCGTAGGCGCCTGGCCGGTGGCAAGGATGGTGATGGAATGCGGGTGGTTCAACGGACTGTTTCCAGCACTGCCTCCGCTTCCACCACCACTGCCACCAGCTCCTCCACTGCCGCCGCCGTCTTGTAACGATGCCGCCGAGACGCCAGAACCGGCACCGCCAGGCGGTGAGCGAAGAAGAGAGCCTTTGTGTGTCGGATGTAGGTGTCCGGGCGAGGGTGGGTAAAGATGTTGCGAGCCGGCGGAACGAGCCCCTGCACCGCCGCTGCCACCGCTGCCACTGCCAGCGCCCACCCCCGCCATGGTCGACTCGTGCGCCAGCGAGGCAGTGGGGTATTCGGACTCGGCTGTCAGCGCGCCGTGGTTGTAGTAGTCGGGGACGACACCCGGACCAAAGTAGTCGGGAGCTATGGGGGAGTGGGAGGAGTAGTCGCCGCCACGGAGGTCGCGGTCGCGGTGCGCGGCGGCGTGTTCACGATGGACAGAGGCCAGGTGGTAGGCATGCGGCGGGCCGCCGCGCGGCGAGGCGTTGGGGGTGGGACGACGGATAGGCACATCGATGACGAGGGCCTCGTCGATGGTCTGGCCGCCGGGGTAGTAGACGTCGAGGGTGCGGGTCATGAGCTCGTCTGGGCCGAGTGTCCGCTCGCCCTGGTGGGCCTCACGGGGACTGAGTCGCAGGGTGACGTCGGGAGCGTCGTAGACACGGCCGAGCGAGTTGCCGTACTTTCGCAGAAGCATCTCGCGAACGTCGTCGACAACATCGGTCTCGCTAAAGCTGACAAGCGTGGCCGACGCGCCTGGCCGCCGCACCCAGACCTTGCGCTGTGCTGCTGGCGCGGTCATCGTAGAGGTTGGGCTGGAGGGCGGGAAGGAGGGAGGAGGTACGGAGGATGTGTATCGGAGGTTGTAGGTTGGGAAAATGGCAGAAGCTGCAGCGTGCAGAGAGGGGAGATGCTCCCCGTCCGATGCAAACAACAGGCGCGATGCACCGAGATGCGTGGATGCAGGCAAACGAGTTGCCTCAGGAAAATGTCGGTTTCGTCGATGTGCCGAAGAGCATCTTTTTCGTTCGTGTCTCTGTCCGAACCTTTTGAGCTGATATGCTTCCGAGGGGATGGCGATCCCTGGTTTTGTGTTTTGTTTGTCCGACGGGAGACGGCGGCGTGAAGGACGCGATCGATCGAAGCAAGCGAAGCAGTTGGCGGAGATCGTATCGGGGCAGTTTGCTCTGTTTCTCCTCTTTCCTTTCCGAATTACTCTGTGTGGTTTGGTCTTGCTCTCAACTAAACCAGCTGGGTGAGTGGGTCAGGACCAGCCACGACTGGTCAGTGCTTCCTTCCTCTCTAACTGTTTTCAATTTATGTGTGGGGAGGTCTCGATTGTTGGTAATGAGAAAGAGCACTTGAGCCTTTTGCATTCAGGCGGCAAATCGAGTCACGTGTGTTGGGAAGGTCACGTTTTCTTCAAATGAAGCGTTCCTGTGTAAACAACAGAGGACGATTTGATTATTGTTTTGTACATCGTTACAAAAATCACGTTCTTAAAGTATCCGAAAACATCTGGCTTTAACTTGGATTGTCTTTAGTGTATTAAGCGACCTTGTCTGTTGCGTCGGTCGATCACTACCCAAATGAGGTGCCATAGGGAACGACGAAGTGGACGGCTTTGACTGGTTTCTTAATTTTCAAAAATTGATGGGAATATTTCAGTCTGTTTCTTTATGTAAACATAACTTTGAGGAGACGCGTTGGGGCTTGCTTGTCAAGAACTAACTGGTATCATTTACTGGGTGCCTTTTCCGAAATAGAGCAGCCTGCTGTCTCTTGTGTTTCTGGTTGATTATTATTAACCATTGCCGAAACGTACCTTTAATGCACTTTCATTATAAGAGTAAGGGTGTTTACAATTAATCAATGTATTTTTACCAGCAGCATGGAGTACAATTTTCTCCGAATGAATAGGGCAATATATGTGTCACACAACAGGAAACGAAAAGCCATCTCAAAAATACCCAAAACGCCATGCCAATGCAATTCAAGAGGACAAGCATCAAAATCGTCGACAATGAAACTAAACGGGCCATCATCGTCTGTCATGGCCCAGCGTCTGGTCGCTGGGCACACTGTGGACGGCGTGCTGCAAATGCGACTTGAGCTCGCTGCCGGCTTCATGCTGTGGCAGGCCCAACTCTTCGTCGATAGTATGGCTGTTCGATGTGGACTGCGAGTCGTTGTCGAGATACGACGAGGAGTTGTGGGAGGCGTGCGAAGAGGTGGCAATGTTGAGGACCTTTGTGTCGTCTGCGACAATGGGGTCATTGTGGCCACCATGGATATTATGGCTGGCAGCGCCTGCACCTTCCCCCGGGCCGGCACGGCCCGTCAGCCGAGAGAAGCGCGACCCAATAGTCGCAATGGGGTCAACGAGACTGGTGTGCATCGGGTACCGGTGGCCGTTGTTGTTGATATTGTTGTGCGCTAAATCGCCGTCGGGACTGGATAGCCATGACTTGGGCAGCAGGCAGCTGACAAACGGTTTGAGGTTGATGGAGCTGGCGACGACAATGGCGAGGTTTGTTTCGACGTCGGTCCAGTAGTATGTGGCGATGCCGGAATAGGTAAAATCGGGGCCGGGGTTGTTGGTGAGTGGGATGATGAGTGTAATACGGATCACGGAGATGGCGCAGACACTGGACCCGGGGGTTAGTGTGTATGACTGGGACGTTTAGAGGGAACGGTGTGTGCCAGCTTACAAAAAACCCATGGCAAAGACGAAAACGAGGAGCACCTTGTGGCCCGGGCGGACTTTGAGGCGCCAGACGACGGGCAGCGGCAGCAGGAATATCATAAAGTCGGTGGCAATCATGAGGTACTGGTTGGAGAGCCAGAAGACCTGCGGGTGGCAGGTGGCGCCGAGTATGGTCGGATCCCAAAAGGCCTCGAGCGGCGTGCAGGCTGAAAAGATGACGTACAGCACCCAAGTCTGGCCGACGGCGACGACGGCGAGCAAAATGAAACTGACGGAGCGGACCCAGTTATAAGGAAAGACGACGAGGTACAAGGCCAGCATGGACAGCTTGCTGAATGTGAGGGACAGCGAGTAGAAGAGGATGGAGATGAGTCCGGCTTTGGCGCTGTCGGAGGAGTTAATGTCGCCAATGGCCATGTCGTAGACGTGGGCGCCCATGCCATATCCCGTTTCTTGTGATGTCAGCGGATGTACGAAAAAGTGAAGAGTATGTTGGGGCACGTAACCTACCCAGTATCTGAGGAATGGTGACACCAAAGGAGAAGATCTGTTTTCTGTGTTAGTGGCATTGGGATGCCTGATTGAAGTCAAGGACGATGTACGCACCCATGCCAACAAAACTAGCCATTCACTCGCGCCGATTCGGGTCCTTGTGATGAACATGCGCGTGTAGAATCGTGCTGCCACAAAACAGCCCGCGAGGAACAGCGTTATGACGCCGCTGGCGATGATGTCAGCCTTCTTTGAGTCGTGCGGCAGCAGGGCCGGATCACCAAACGGCGAAACCAGAGCGAATGTTGCCGCTGGTGCGGCCGCAGCCGCGGTCGACATGTTGTGTGGGATGTGCTGACGCGTTGACGAGGTAAAGAAGGAAGATGTCAAGGGTAAACGAGGGAAAAGACAGAAAAGACAGAAAATAATAGAAGACGTGTTCTGGACCTCCGTCTACGTCGTAGTTCAACTTGCGTTTGTCGCTTAGGCCACGGCATGTCGAGCCTTGTCAGTCTGGACTGGTGTTTTTTATTGTCTTGTACCGGGTATGAATTGGATGTTGAGCCGACCTGAGACAAGGACCAGAGGTCCTCGACTAGAGTTGCAAATGGCGTTGTGACAATCTTGTCCTTTCCATACGGGGCGGATCTTCTTTGTATATCATTTCCGTCTATAGCATGACGCTGCTTGAAGGCCCGGATTGAAAAGGAGGCGAGTCTTAAAAACAAGGTTTGCTACTAAAACGAACTGTTAATACTGCTAAGCATTAACTGCAATGGATTCAGCGGACGTTCTTGGCTAGAAGCTTCATGGTCTGGATCCTGGAGCCTGTAGAGGCTGTCGACGAAACCCTTGCTCCCTTGTTTGTACAGGGTTCTACGTCACAGCTGCCACTTGCTTCAGCCATACTCGCACCCCTTTATCAACAAGAAACCTGACATGGCATGACACGAACGCATCACAATAATAGCACGAACCGGAACACCATAAGTGGGTCGAATTAGACAGCTGGTATACTTTACGACACACAGACGACGTACGGATGACAAGATTGACAACAAAGACAATCCCCAGACCGAAAATATGGCGAGTGTGACTGTGATGGACAGGATGGACGGCTCGGCAACACGGCCGGTACGCACTGATTCGAGTGATGGGCAGTGTGATGAAGCCAGGATGCATAAACACTAATGCTTTTGGGAAACCTGTCCAGTTGACCGTCAAGTCGACAGGAAAGGTTTCGCTACAAAAGACAAGGTCCTGAGGCTGTGAAGTGAACTCGAGGAGACAGAACCATGTCCTGGTGAAGCGCACGGATGTCCTGACACTGACCATGCCGCCCCATGTAAGGCGGACTGGAGGGGACGGCTGGTGACATAAAGTAAAGCCATGGAGCAGAAGCAGAGGAGCCCAGGAAGGTTTTCAGTACGATGTACTCTGATATGTCATACATCGTATGCTCAAACGACACCTATCCAAATCAAACGTGGCAGCGCGGTCACGGCCATCCCCGTTGAACAAGAGAAAAACTGAGGCGATGTAGACGCAGAAATTTAATAATAACACCCCGGCCTCACCTCAGCCGTTCCCAGTTAAGTAACTTGGATTTTCGATGCTCTTTTACCGCTTTCGAGACAGGATGGGTGCGGGAGGGGTGGAGACAAGTCGCTCAGCGGTCGTTTGACCGGTCGTTCGAGTGGAAAGGCAGGGGTTGTGGTGGTAAGAAATAAAAGACTGAAAAGGTTTGGTACGGAGCTCTCCACCCGTTTTGAACGGATGCAGACAAGCGAGCCAGAAATCGTCTGGGGTAGCTGGGCTTGGCACCCAAAAAGAGAAGGGAGTAAATCGTAATTTAGACGTATTGCATAAAGACAACGCCTCGCTGAGACATGTGATGGCTCGACCAAGAGCTCGTTTTGTGTGGGCAGAGACGAAAACGGAAAATAAGAGGAGATGGGAGAGGCGAAAAGGTGTCCTGGAGACAGAAAAATAAGTAGCACGCCAAGCATGCAGAACTGCCCGTTAACTGCTGTCACGAAAACAAAGGAGCGAAAAGAGTGGCACGAATTAAAAAGAGCAAAAAAAGTAAATAAATGGCAGCAACTACGCAAGAGGAGACCACAGAATGACTCCAGACCAGCGCAGACTCAACTTTTATAATACAAAAAGCCAATTGTCGAGCAGGAACCAGTTCTCATGCTTCACTTCAATGCAACCATTGGCGTCGAAGGGACAGTGGTGAGACACTTATGAAAAGAGAATACTGAGAAGGAAAGAAACGGGACGATGCTGCATGTCGCTTCGACTTGATCTATCATGAGTGGAATATTATTTCCCACGGATTTGTCGTACACAAAGAGCTATGATTATCAGAAAAAAACCATCCTATCGGCATTCTTACCGTGTCCAACCTCCGTCCTTGTCCCCAAGAGGAGCTGGAACCGTTCTCATCCCAAACACAACAAATGACCTCTGTCTCCAGCTTCCAAAGGAAGCCCATCTCAGTCTCCACGTGGCAACTCCTGCAACCTGTCCTTTGCACGAACTCTGGCGTTGATACGCAATGAGGTGGAAGCCAATATCCGTAGGCAGGGTCTGGATTCGAGTTGGAGAGATACAGCGGACAAAGAGGCAGAAATTGGAGGCGAGAAGGGGCGAAGCGGAATCAAACAATGTATTATGCTGCAAAGTTACAGGGGAAACAAATTGGAGACGATGGAGCATATTACTACGTAGGCCCTCCGTGAAAATGGCATCGATGGAAAGCAGGCCTTCTCTGATATCTTCGCTGATCCATACGGTCGAAGATGGCCGTTTTTGCAAGCTAGTTTTCCTATTTATATTGTCCCCATAGTCCCAGGCCTCCCCGGCTCTCTTGTATCCGAAGACAGCTTGTTCTACTCCAAGGATTTGGCACATTACCTCTCCGAACGCAGCTCCGCAGCATAAGATCGACCAATGTAGGCAACCATTTTCCGTGCTGGTTGGTTTTGAAGAGTCGTTTCTTTGCGGATTTCCTTTGAACATGCTTTTCCTAAAGCGAAGAAGAGGGGACAGAAAGAGCCCCAGGGAGGATAGCAGTCAATGTGCATAAGTATTAAAGAATCGTGCGGACACAATGGTTCGTCGTAGACCGAAGCTCAACACGACAAGCCTTGTCACGTCCAATATCTCTCGACTCCCACCTCGCATCACCACCACGCGCCATCATGTCCGACCCATCCAAAGGCCACGTGCGCATCGACCACAAGTTTGCCCACGACTACCTTTCCTACGACGCCGGCGTCACTTTGCAGCGTATGTCAGCGTGCCTTTCTCTTTGGTTTGTCAACGTCCACGACTAACGCGCGCAGCCTGCGTCAAGGCCTCGTGCTACTTCCGCAGAAAGCCCGGCGTCTCGTTTGACCACTTTACCAAGCACTGGGCCTCGGTGCACGCCGACCTCACCGTGGCCGCGCCGCCCTTTGCCCAGTACAATGTCCTCCGCTACGTCCAGCACCACACGTCGCCCGCGGCAAAGGACCGTCTCGCCAAGATCGGCCAACAGGTCCTCGACTTTGACGGCTGCTCGACGCTCTGGTTCCGCAACTGGGACGACTATGAAAAATTCTTTACGGCGCCCAACTTTTCGGAGCTCGTGGCCGACGGCGACCTCTTCATGGACACGTCGTCCGTCACCGTGTACGCGGGCCACGACATGATTGCGTTTGGAAAAGGCCACCCGGGCATCGACACGAGCGACGGCATCACCCAGCCCAACATCGCAGAGGGGTAGGCTGCTTGGAGGACTGGTTCGAGGCGTTGGACTGGGCACCTGGGCAGCGTAGCGGCTCTGGAACAAATCTTCCCCTCCCCGGATATCAACCTGCAAAGGTGCGGAGGCAGTGCGGAGGTGGAGGCAGAAGGTATAAGCTAGGGGAAAGGGCCGGAGGGCCATCGGACGCAGGGGGCCATCAAACCGTGTCCGTATCCGTTTTGAAAAACGTGCATAAATGTGACACATTGACATCAAAACGGACTGCCCTTATTAGTGTATCGACAAGACGCGCGCGGTGTCACTGTCTCCAATAGTACCAGAGCTAGACTGGGCTGTGGAATCCGCCTGTATCTGGCCGAGGAATAAAGGTAGAGCATAGCCCGGAGAATTGGTGATTTATGGTCATACTCAGATCGTCATGTTTCGCATACGCCATATCTAGACAATGATATCACCGCCACAGGATAACGAAAACCGTCTAGGATGAGAGGTAACGGGGACGAGATAAATAGTGGTCATCATTAGACATTCGTGGTGGACGTTGAGCTAATGAAAACAAACAAAAAAGAGCCTTATAGTAATTGCCACCAAACTGGGGAAGAACGCTACAGATGCACCTGACAATTGGCGTACGCTTTCACTTACAGGATTTCTCCGCAAAACCTGGGGTAATCATACATGAACACAGAAATAAAAAACGACGCGAGCGGAGAAGCACTAAAAGTGGAGAATCCGAGATCGACCGTCACTCGCAGGGACCGCCAGGAAAAGCAATACCGAAGCATCTGGTGAGGGAGCTCGCAGTATCTACGGAGTAAATCCAACATGGGGGATTTGTGGTCTAACATTTCTTTCGTATGGAGTATGGACGTGCACATCCTTGCCCTCTTGGCGAGTGGGACGTCATTTGTTACGTTGTGCTTCCACCGCCCTTTGTTTTGTTTTGTGTTTGTTTGCCGTTTCTCTCGCCGTTGTTCGTTTCTACTGCACCGGGCTCCCCAAAACTTGATAGAACTTTCCGTGCTAGTCTTGTGGATTGTATTTTGTACCAGTGCTATGTTCGCTGTGCATGGGAGCAAGAGATGACATGTCCATACGATACGTCTCCAAGTCCAACATTGCATTTAGGAATTCTGTATGCACATCACATTTGACGGCGATGACTTGACTTGCATGTGTCTCTTGTCTATCTTACCAAGAGAACAGCAAAGCCGTGGATCAAGTCCAGACCTGGAGGACATGGCCGTCAAAAACAAAGTAACAGAATCCTTCAATGTTTTGAGTAACTGCCGCCGGACCATGTCGTGTTCGTTTTGAGAACAAAAAACGCCGACTGAATGGGAATTGCATGTCATGGTCAAGCTGTCCGTGGCTTGTCTAGGCCACTTCCTGGTTTGTGAGGATGTGCTGTTGCCGTCTAACTGCCCAGCACACCCATTTGGGATCAATGGGACCTCCGGGAAACGTTTTCTTTCCGCCGTTTAATTCCATCTTGCATGGCATTATTGTACGGAGGCCATCTCTGGTAACCTCTTCCATAGTGTCTTCAGTTTTGGATCCCTGGCAGTCATCTGACGATCGG